ATAATAATAATAATAATAAAGATAATTTATTGCATCCTTAGAAATACAGTGTTTCCATCAGTTTATAGCAACAAAAGTAAGATATTAAAAAACAAAATAACAAAATAACTATAGCAAATAATAAATGATAGATTTTAGTGTTTTTGTTAAGTATCTTTCTCGTTTCTCATTAAGAACGAGCTGTGTATAAATTCTCCAACAAGTTTGATTACATTTGTGTTAGAATTTTTCATTAAGTATGTAAATTTCTGTTGGTCAGTTTTTGTTTCATCAGGAAACTGTATATTTGAGAATATATCCATTCGCAGTGTGTGATATTTTGGGCATTTGATGAGGAGATGCATTTCATCTTCTATGTCTGCTAAAGTACATTGTTTACAAATCCTGTTTTCCAAAGAAATTTTAGGTTGGGTATGTCTACCCTTTTCTATTGCTAGGCTGTGATTACTTGTTCGGAATCTAGAGACAGAAATTCTATGTTTTAGATTCAGTATAATTAAGTAACTTTCAAAGTTGTAGTTTGTTTTGAATTGAGTATATGTTCTCAACTTAGGTTTATCCATAATTGTCTCCTTCTAGAATTCAATATATTTTTGTTTAATATTGTTTCCTATTCTCTTTATATTTTGTTTTGTTGCATTCAATTTGTCATTGATATTCTTTATATCTAATGTGTTATCTTCCTTATTTAACTCTTTGTAAATTGACATAATCCATGGGAGTTTGCAGTTTATCTGTTCATGGTATGCCTGTTTTGTTAAATTACATTCTGGAAGTTCTTTGATCCGTGCCAAATACTTTATAAGATTTATTTTGATGTCTACTAGTAATGGTAGTTCACCTATTTCTGCTCTACAAGCTAGATTTGATGAAAATTTATTCAATCCAAGCATTCTTTTACTAAATTTCAGATGGGTTTTCTCGATTGGTGTATTGTCCCATTTATTATTTTCTTGAATTTCGAAGCCCCATACATCTGATCCATATAATAGTATTGGTCTTATACATGTTTTGAATAGGTGTAACATTGTTTTGCAGTCAGTTTCTTTTGGCACAGAAGTCATCATTGCATATAAAGCTCTTGTGGCTTTGTCTGCCAAATTATTTCTTGTGTCGCTGAATTTACCATTCGACTGTAATGATACCCCAAGGTAGTTGTATGAAAATACACAACTAATATTTTGACCTTGATATGTAAATTTTTCAGTATTTCTCAAGTATCCTCTTTTAAATATTACAATTTTACTTTAAATATTATTTTGGTTTTTGCAGGGGGGGGGGGTAGTTGCAGGACATGATTGGTTGAAATAATTGTTCATTTGCATAAATTAATATTCATGAGCAATGAAAAACTTGTTTTTTCAGTAAAATTGTGCCAAAATGCAATGAGAAACTTATTTTTTTCAGTAAAATTGTGCCAAAATGCATTCTGATAGCACACACATTAGTTGTAAATTGCCTGATTCTATCATTGCTAGCTGAAAAAATACCTGAAAAACTGTTGTAAAGTGTTTTTTTAGACCATTTTTTATGTCCAGCAAACTGTTGAAAGTAACCACAGGTTTATTCTTTAAATTGATCATTTATGAAAATGTAGAGGCACTTTGATATTTCACTCTTTAGATTCACACGCCAGGTTACTTCACAGTGTAAAACTGGAACTTCTGAGTTGTTGAAAAACAAGCATAAATGCTGACCATTAAATTGTCAATATACATGTATTTGTACATTTGTAAGTACAGGAGAGGGGCTTTGACATTGTTTTTTGCTTAATTTCAAATTTACATTTTGTCATCTTTACTTATCTAACCTTCAGGATTCTATCTGTTTTTAGGTGGTGGTGTAAACAATGAAATTATTTCAGAGAATCCTACTTTACAGACTACGCAGTGCTCCACTGCTGATGTCATGGCAGTGACATCAAAAGTGAGTCATAAACCATTATTGATATACCGGTAATAATATATATACATGTATGTATTGCATTAAATGATGTAATACAGGGATATACCCAGCCACAATACAGTCTGGGGGTAACTTTACTTGACTATCAGCTGGTTTTGTCTTTTCCTAAAACTTTTAAAAGCAAGTATCATTTTCTTCAATAATCTCAACTTATTTCTTGTAGTATTTACCTATTACTAATATGAGACATATTTAGATAGTTATTCTGCACAATTTAGCAGTTTTGAAAGCAAGCTAAATTAGAGCTAGAGTAAATTACATTTGGACCATAATGTATATGTATGTGTCCAAGTATGGCACAGTAAAAGAAAAGGCGATCAATAAATATTTATTGTTTACAGGACAAATTTTGAAACAGGTGTGATAAAATCTACAGATGTACGATTATTTCTGCGTCTTACAATAACTAACCCAATTTAGAATAGTGTAATTTCATTTCACAAATGTCCATGAGTGTGGTAAGTGAAAATCAATAAAATTATGACAGTGAAATTTAGTTGTTGTGAATGCTCTCAAGTACTCCAATCCACAAACATTAAATTCTTAAATTTAAAGAATCAATATAGATGAGAACATGTAATTTTTAGCCTGATTGTAGTCAAGTGATGGAAACGCTATAGTAATGGCAAAATGTCTGTCATCCGGCACGTCTGTCATCGTCGTAAACATTTCTTGTGGGCATGGTAACTCCAATAATATTCATATGAAACACTGTCATTCTCTAATATGCATGTGCACTGGTTGTTTTGGTACAGACAATATAACACTTTATTTGTGTTTTAGTGGTTTTGATTTTACTTCTGATAAATACTGCGCATCTTTTGTTAGGATAAATCATAATCATTTTTGGTCTACTGTATGAATTATCTAACAACAATTGTAAAAATCACATGTCTCATCCATATATTATCTTTAAGATCTTTTAAAATCATTTATTGTTTTGTTTTTTTTACTGTAAACTTTTCAGGTGCCAATACCCAGGATAGCTACAAATAACAAACAAGCACAGAGGAAAAGTGAAAGAGTGAGACGACCAAGATCTTTTTCACCAGAAGATGATTTGTTAAATAAAAACAGGAAAAGACCAAGAAAAAATCCTAATCCTATTAAAACAATTAAATCAAAAGATCCAAATAAAGTAGCAGGTATGGATTCTTTACTAATTATACATGTATCGTGAAATGAACCACCTTAAATATTGATGGGTTTACCAAGGCGTTCAGTTAATGCATAGACTCTCTAAAAGAGGGTCTATGGTTAATGCTATATTCTTATTCATTCATTCTGTGCCATGCTGAATAGCGTTGGCTATCATGGATCTCCATCTATCACGGTTCCAAATGCACGATATCGTTTGTGTTGGCTTTACCCTCTGTAACCATGATGTCATACTGTCAAGCAACTTCTCTCTTTTTCTACCCCTGCTTCCTTTTCCCCATCAATTTTCTCTGTCGTTACTAAATGTTCTTTTCTTCTCATCATGTTTCCAAAGAACGTTGCCTACCTCTTCCTTATTTCATTGACGAGAGACCTCTATATTCTTATAACGCCAGTTATTGCATCGTGTCACATTTGTTGTGTGTCCCATGCAATGTACATGTATACTAGTACAATGTTTGTTTTCATGAAAATTTTGGCGATTTAGATAGTTAATGTTAGCTGATAACGTTTGCTCCATGATGTGTGTATCTCCAATTGAAGGTGCAAAATGTAAGGCATTTGGATGTTATGTAAACATTATGTATTTCTAATTGAGCAATACATAGTACATGTTGTCATATTTTCACTTTTCAATCATAGGATTCCACACAAATTTTCTATCAAATTATAAATAGTGTGTATTGTACAAGAAATAACGCGACTTAAATTTTAATCAGATGTTGTATAGTATAAAATAAAACAAGGTTTCAATAATTTTGCTATGTTTTCTTCCCCACTAGAATCATTTTGTTGTGATCTGTGCAAATCACCGTACATCACAAATCCTGCCAGGAAAAGTAACAAGAGTAAGCAAGGATGCTATGTTGCAAGTCCGCGGCACAAAATAGATCCAGTCACAAAGAAAGAACTTACATTATGCAATGCCTGTGGTAAGTGTTATGAAAGCATCTTCATTTAAGTAGGTTTGAGCCAGATTAAAGACTGTATGTCATGCTAATCTTAAAGCGGGGGAGTCGTCACCTGCACATGCGGCAGATGGCCATAGCGTGTCATTGTTTACAAAGAAGCATCCACCCATGATCCTTTGCATTTTTAGCGCGTGTTGTTATCGTCGCTTGGGACTCAATTCTCAAATGTGCGCAGGTGACGCAGGTTCATTAAAAAAAGTTTGGTTGTTCAGACAATTGTTATGTTCAAAATTTTATGGAAGAAATTGTCCAATATTGGTATTTTTAAACTAGTTTCTAGGGTGAAATTATTTTGCTCAGTGACGCGATTGAAAACAATCATATATTATTATTGATATGAATCCTAATGTTGTTTGCACATGTTCATTTCAAAAAATTAACAGATAATTTAGTGAGTGCTAATACTAGTAGTTATCAACTACTAGTATACAATGAGAGGTTATCTCCCATAATGCATTGCACTGAATACTTCAAACTGAGGTTCATAATTTTTTTTAAACTAGACTTTCAATTAACCAGTTGCATTGGTATGCATGCTGAACAAGAATTTAGGCAACCATGTCTGTCTTTAATATTGGTATACACATTTAGGTACAACCTGCATTCAGTTTATTGTAAAAATCAACAAATGTACAGCATGTGACAATCTAGATTCTTATCATTAGGGTATGTACTTGTTGTGATGAGAAACACCTGTTGTATTCTCATCCTATGGTTACCCATTATCAATGTACCGGTAGTACTTGATATCCTTTTCTTGAAGAGCACCCCCTGGTGGTGGATCATATTTTGTATCCTTTTTACCACCAGCTTTCTTGCCTAAATGCCAACATTTTTTTTATACATGTGTTCCTCAATATTTCTGGAAATGAATAGATGGATTTCATACTGCATTGTGTTCATGCAGTGGTTAGTATTTCTCATATAAAATCAATGCCACATCTAGTATGGCATTCTGGAAAATTCATTGTACCGGTATATATAATAAAACATAAATTGAAATAAAAGTTTGCTGTTTGATTCAAATGTCTTATCTGTCAACATTTACCATATTGCAATGCCTAAAACATAAAGCAGCGAGTCGAAATTATAATGATGATATATAAGCATGTTAGTGTAGCATGCATAATACCATAATAATCGTAACCAAAATTTAAGGATACAATTCAATTCTCTCTGTCCATAGGATTGTCATTTGACAGGCAAAGACAACCACGACCAAAGAAAACTAAACAAGTGTTGAATGTAGAAGAGAAGAAGAAATATCTTGATGAAGCTGAAAGTTTTGCGCAGTCTCTTGTGGATGGATTTAAAGATCCCGATGGTAAGTATTATTATGAAAGATTATACATGTACATCCGTCAGCGTATCTTAGTAAGTTATAGCGTGCTTCTGGGTATCCTATCTTATTAGGAAATGGACACTCCAAATATGAGGGAATTGATTGAAAAGTTCATAATGACAGATTGTTGATAATTTTCATCATTCTTCCCAGTTACTTTGATTGAGATAATTACAAATTTATTAAAATGTTATCCTAATTATGCAAACAGTATGTGGTTTCGTTGGCCATCACATATCCATTACGCTATTACAGGGATACCACAGTGTGCAGTGTCAACCTCTGATACATATCCCACTGTACCATCTTTGTGCGCACTTTGCTGTATTGTGGTAATATCCTCATGTTATTTACAAATTCTGTGTAAAAATGCATATAAATTCCTGTGGGCTGTTGTAATTTGTACTTCTGTGAATACATATATGTTCAAACTTAATTCAAGAGTTTATTAATCATGAGATTCTCAATAGTAAAATAGGAAAATCAATTCTGGAGAGAAATATAAATTATTCTTCTCCTGGGTCAGTTGGTCCAGTCATTGGTGTTGCCATCTGTATTTGAAAATCACGAACAGGGCAAAAGCCGAGCTTGAGCAATAGTTCATTTGGAAACACTGCAATGTTTTCACAGTACAGGAACTTATTTTTTATTATGAAACGTATGCTTTAATCCTAAAAAATATTTATGAGTTCCCTGTGGAATTATATATTTTCACCATAACATTTTTATGGAAAAAATAATAGAAGCATGTGGATATCACAATTCAATGCATAATAATCCTGATACCGGTAATGCTCAAGCACAATACCTACATAAATATAATAAAGTATTATGAATCTGCATTTATTATATTTATATACTGTAGAATACTTTATAGCTGGAATTAATTTTTGCTGAAAAGACATTTTTGGTGTTTTGTATGGAATTTGTTTTCCCTGATTTTTGACAAGTTGAATGTAAAATATAGGAAAAAAGGTACCCCTGTATATTCACTGGATCGAAAGTAAAGTCTTTAACAGTATTCAATGTACTACACCATAACACATGCCCGAATAATCCTTTCATGATTTTTCTGTTGTATCTTTTGCAGCTGCTCGTCTTTCATGTCCTCATTTCAAAGGCAAGCCATGTGGATGTATGCAACAGTACATCATAGCTAAGGGTGAGTTGAATCCACATGTACCAGTATATTATTTTGCTCGTATCATTTGCAAAGTTCCACAGACTTTTTTACATGAGCTATTATTACAAGCGGCGTATGAATTTTACAGTCAAAGTACCAGTGTCATTACGCTCAAATTTTGTGTAAAAAAAATGTACTTTATGTGGATACCTGAATATGTATGACACAGACTGACGCTCACGAAGATAAAGTTGTATAATAATATTTGTCATTGTGATTAAACTTTGACAGGTAATATGCAAGAATCTCGTAAAAGAGCCGCTAGTCTACTACAACTCTTAAAAGATGCCAAGAATCTAAGTCAGCAAAAGTGTTATGATGACATCCCCACTCTAGGACCTAATGGAAAACCCAAAAAGTAAGGTATACTGTTGTTTTGTGCATGCATGTTTACAAACATTTATGATAAATAAAAGTTCTTCTTAAAGCTATATTGTTGGCAAAATCTTTCAATTTTCAATAACTCAGCCAAAAAATCAATATTTAAATCAAGATCAAAACATATTGTGCTGTTTATTGGTAAACACAACTAACCTAGTAAATACGTAATGTTCGATGTTCAACGGTTAATCAGATGCTGTTGTGACATAAATAAAATAGTCGTTAATGAATTTAAATTCGAAGAGTCTAATGGCTATTAACCTTTTCACGACAAGACTTTCTTGCCCAAATTTTCCTTCCCTTTTTCCTAAATTCTCCAATATTTTTGGAAATCAACCTTAATTTTGGAACCAACAGACAAAATTTTCAGTTTTTACTCAAAAAATTTGGCTATTTGTGTCCCAATTTTCTGAAGGAAAGTGCAGACTATAAACAGTACTATTTTGTGAATCTGTGATGAAAAGAGGGGAGTGTTGAAAAGGTTAAGGAAAAATCAAGAGTGTTGTGTGCAGTCAGATCTTTGATGAAAGTGCTTTACATCGAATATTGATTGTGTAATATAATTTATCTTTGATTGGTGAACAGAAAATTTTGTGTGCAATTTGGTGACCTAATGCCTCCTTAAGATGGTGAAATTTTAATCACAACCAAAGCTACAGAACTGTTCAGTGATGTTTATCTATTGCTACAGATGTCTTGTGAATACCCTAAATATTGCTTTTATTACAGTTCATATCTTACTTAAAATGTCAAAAACTTTACCGACAATACCATTTACCAATGACATTTGTAAATTTATCAAAATATTTACCAAAAAAGTAGTACAATTATTAATAATTCAGTCTACCATGGTGCATATCATTGACAGTAGTGATGTTAGTGTGAAACGTCACTGATTTTTCACTAAACCAGCATGATGCTACTACCACAGTGCTTTGTTTTACCGGTATTGTCACACTGGTATGACGCTGCCACAGTCATTATCCTGAACATCATACTGGTATTTTTTTTTCATTTATTTTTTTATTCACGAGCAGTGTATTAATAATATATTAATAATTCCTGTTTGGAAATTATTATAAAAATGATATGCAAATTAGAAAGCAAATTTTAACCGCAACAGTGGTTTAAATTTCTGTGGAAAACACTGTATATTGAACGAATACTACATTGTTCATGGCAGAAAGTTTTCAATCTATGCAAAATAGATTAAATATGCTTAAATTGTTTTGTTTTTCAGAGTTAAACACATAGGCTTGGGTAATGGACAGAGAAAATCCAAGGCCTTTGAAGAATTCATCTTGTCCAAACGGAAATACCTACGCGAGGAACTAAAGTTTTGTGAGCGAGCGACGCAGAGGGTACTTATGTATTCCAATAATTTTCTACACAAGAAACTTAAAACAGACCCTCACAAGGGGGTGAGAGCAGAACGACAGAAGGGAAAGGCAGCATTGGGCCAACTAACACCACTGCAGTCTCTTTTAGATCAGAGCTGTTGTATTGATAATTGTGTCATGGTAAGCTTCTCTCACTACTGTAGTTGTACTTGGGGAAGAAATTAATTTTTCACAAAGTAAATTAATTTGTGAATTTGTGAATACTGTATTTGCTCTATTAGAAATGCACATAAACAACAAATTTCATTTATTGTAATATTGTAAACCATTGGACTTATGTTTCTATAAAAGTTTTTACTATTTTACTGGTATAATCGGAGAGCATTTGACAGGAAAAAATTTGATGAAAGTCACTATCTGAAGAACCCCAGTGAAATCTTCACTGCTTCAATTTTTGCAAAATTTGATTCTCGTGAAATAAAATTGATTAACAGTATTATTTACTGATACATAATCAAAATTTTGTGTTTTTTGAAGATGGTGAGAACTCATTTACGTTTACTGGAGGCTTGGAGGGAAAGAGCGGCTTTAGGGCAGGCCGATGCCAGACGTGTACTAGCAGAGATGCTGACGCCATCAGGTAAGAAAGCCGGACAATGCTTTACAGTGCTGTCAAACAATAATATGCAGTTTTGAGTGTTCACTCAGGAGATTAAGAGTCAAAATGAAATCCTCAAAATTAAGTCAGCTTGTTGACTACTTGGAAGGTCGTTCTTCAAGAAAAAATTTAAGTGTATGTGACATGTATAGGAAAATATAGGCAACAAACAAAAATGTTGTGGCCGCTGATTTCCTTCGTTTTATATTTATTTTGTTTATAAAATATGAATTTCATTTTACCAAATTGCAAATTCTGTACTATATTAAGATGTTTTTCAAAATCACTATACCTGTGTATGTTTTTCAAAATCACTATACCTGTGTATGTTTTTCAAAATCACTATACCTATGTGTTTTTCAAAATCACTATACAAATGTACCTGTGTATGTTTTTCAAAATCACTATACCTGTGTTTGTTTTTCAAAATCACTATACCTGTGTATGTTTTTCAAAATCAACTATACCTGTGTATGTTTTTCAAAATCACTATACCTGTGTATGTTTTTCAAAATCACTATACCTGTGTATGTTTTTCTATTGCGTCGTTGGTGCACTAAGGAATGAGCAGAAATTAGTGTTTCACAGAAAATATTTTTGCATCACTAGCACATCATATCAGCTTAAAGGGCACGGTTGTCTGTATTCTTCCATGCATTATTCTATATGTAGAATCACCAAGCTCTGTGGGAATAACTACTGTTATGTTAATTATATGAAATTGTTTCAGTCAGTCATAATTTTCTGTCATGCTCGGATTTGCAAGCGTAATTCTTAATAATTGGCACATAGAAGAATGGCCAAAAGTGTCCAGAATATTGCCACAGTTGGCTCATCAGATGTTAATATAATCATAATTTATAGCACCAGTGGCAAAGGGCTCAAGAGCAATTTATGTCTCTAGTGGATTGAGATGTTTTTAAAAAGTCTTTAAAAAAAATCATGATATGAAAAATAAAATATCAGAATATCAAGGCTCCACAGGCATGGTCACAAGTTAATTTATGTTGTATTGTGTTGTCTGCACTGATTGGAATTAGCCTTTAATATTATGTTTACTTCAAGGTGGGTCTCGTCATAACTGCTATAAATTCATCAGCTGGGTGACTGGATGCAGCCACAGTACCATCGGTAGAGTCAATGATCAGATGAAACGTACCGGTGGTGAGAGAGAACCTCCGCAGCATGGTTTGAAAAAATATTGGCAAGAAAATCCAAGACCCAGTAAATCAACCAAGGGTACCTCTCCGAGTAAGACCAACCAAGCAAGAGCATCAAGCTCAAGTTCATCACTGTCACCACCAAGTAGTGTTGACTCATTGCCTACCACTATTACATTATCATCTCCAGTCCAATCACAGGTACAAGCGTCTTTATTTATTTGTAGACCACAAATTAAAGACTGTGTTATCTTCCTGGACTACTATTATTAGAGAGAGACCCTTAACTTTATTATAAAAAAAGAAGCTCCTATTTGTACACAGAATATATTGCCAGTTGCGGTTCATTTTCTCATCGGGACTCGTTGGTTAAGGATACATGTAATTATGTAAGGGTTTGCATTTTTGGGGACATGTGATGTAATCTCACTTAAATCAAACAAGAATTTGTGAGTTTATAGTGTACATGTTTATTGTGGATTTTGGTAGGATTTAATTGAGCTAATAGTCTTTCACTTTTATGTGTAGCTTATGTAATAAAACAGAATTGGAAGCCATACGATGATTCCCATTGCTATTAATCTGAATCTAAATCTAAGCTAATATTATCAAAACGATAGAAGAATTGGACAGTGACATATAAGCTGAAATAGAACATTGTACTAGAAAGGTTTGTCTAGAGGATTTAAAATTTCAATTGAGAGAAGTCATTGATGTATTGTGTTCATCTTTGTTACAGGCTCAGTTAACGGTACAACAGGAACAACTACAACAGCTTGAAAGACAGCTACAAGTACAACAGCAGCAATTGCAACGACAGCAGCAGTACATACAAATACAAATACAACAAATAATGCAGCAGCAGCAGCAGCAGCAACAACAGCAGCAGCAGCAACAAATCCTAGTACAACAAGCACCAACAGCTATAGCAGCTACAGGCGGAGAGCAGAACATTAATCTCCAGCATTTTACACAATCGATTGCACAGTTGCTGCAACAGCCAGTCGCTCCAACAACGACTACAGCGCAGCCCACAATGCAACAGCAGCCCAGGGTACAACAACCAATTACAGCAGAGGAAGCAGCTAACCAGGTGCCGCCTCCAAGCTATAGCCTTAGCATTGCATTGCAACAGGCCAATCAACCCAGTCCACAAGCTCAAGTGCAGCCAATACCACAGTCACAGCAAGTGCAGCAGCAGCAAGTGCCGACTTCACCACAGCAGCAAGAGCCAACTTCACCGCAGCAGCAAGTGCCGACTTCACCACAGCAGCAAGTGCAGACTTTACCACAGCAGCAAGTGCAGACATCGCAGCAGTTGATCATTCAAGCAATTCAAAATCATATTTTTAGCCAGCTCCTGAACCAGACTGGGAACAATGCAGTCTTGGGACAGGAAATGATACAAATACAGCAACACGAGGGCAGTCCGACAATAAACATTGGTCAGTTGAACACACAAAGTCCTGTAGTTCACCAAGCTAATGTGGAACAGAGTCTCATCTCGCAAAATATCATCCATGTGGCACAGAGCGGCATTGGAACACAAGAACTCACGCTCACACCAACTGATCAACCGGCTGCAGAGCAAGACGGCGAAAACAACCAATCAAATCTAACATCGGCCGATTCTTTGCCAAACATGAATAGCTTACATCCACATGCTCTCAGTACGTCTTCACAGAACGTTGTCTCACATTTACCCACCACACAGATGCTGACACTGCCCCAGAATGCAGCTGTTCAGGAACTGACAGCCACGGCAGCTGATCAGCAGATCACCCAGCAGTTGCTGCAACAGTCCCCAGATGTGGTAACATCCTTGGCAGGAGCTACAATACTGTCTCCAGATGCCCTGAGCGGTGCCACTTTAGAAATTGCCAATCAGATGACTGTTAATACAACCAACATTCCAATTTCTTTAGCGATGCTGACACCAACAACAACACAGTGAACACGACATCTATTAGTTAACGCAAATGTCAGTAAAGTACATGACTATTTACTCTGGGACTAGAACTGAAAGTAGCCATAATTTGCCTTTTTTTATATCTAATAATATTTTACACTCCAAGTTATATTGAACATAGGCACTCAACAGAACAGGGTTGTCTATCGACAAAGAAACAACATTACATTCAACATCTGTTGAACCACTATTTGTTTAAACATACGTCCTGTTCCTCATTTTAGTATGCTTTAGTTACATTTTTCCAAATTATGTTATTTGTGTGTGAGGTAGTTCTAGTTGGTTTCCATTGTTGCAGCAGGTTAAAATCGCACATTGTTTGAGTTTTGGCCATACATCCATCACTAAACATTTTTTTCTCAGAATTTGTTTTTCATTATTTATCAGTCATTGACTGCTGTAGCACTTGCATTTTCCCCACAGTGGCTGTATAGAATAACATATGCCTTTTGTACATAGTTAATGCCTGCAATACATATTCATATCATTTTATTTCGATTTCTGAAAATAATTTTGTTCAGAGTGGGATATTTGGTATTCATCAACTGTATATTTACATTTTCAACTGTTCATGCACTGTCACCAGTGTGGTCTATGCAAAGGCAGTTCTTTGTTATTAGGAAGAAAACGAACAGTAGTTTGTTTGTTTTGGAAGTATTTCCCCAAATGGACGATAATTTTACATACTAATCATGGGGATTCAATTTACAGATAGTTTCAGATGTAATTGAGCAGCAAGTTAGCAAACTTTAATACTCACTAATTGGCCGACAACTTGTGTTTTGATTATTCAGATGGCATACAATTTGAATATTACATTGTGATATCCGTTTCCGTGACTGTGAAACAACTTGGACTGTTGTATTTTGAAGGGAGACACAGTATTGTGACACAAGCCCTTTTCCTGTCACTAGCAATTTCCATTTAAAAACTAAAATTTTTACAACACTAATAAGTATGATATAATACTGTAAAAACATACAAACTTGTTTGATAGGTTATTATAAAAATTTGACGTATGTGCGCACACATAGGTTTACCTATATCTCATAGATGCCCAGAATAAAAACATGTACCGGTAAATAACATGTGATAAATGTAACACACATTCATTTGTTTTACAATCTGATTCAAGATAGCCAAATGGTGGCCGTTTTTTTTGGTCAGATGAGGCATGTCTTTTTGTTTCTCAGATCGGATTCAAAAAGACTTACTGGTGGGCATTTTGTTTTAATGAATGCTGTTTCAGGGATATGTCTCTGATATCTTCATTATTACTGGACTTGTATGTACACATGTACTCCGATATGAATTTACACTGAAAATGGACTGTATTGTGTCATGACTTGTTAAATCATATTTTTTTCAGATACCCAACCTTCCCTCTATAGAAATGGTTTAGCCTAATCAGAAGTGAGAGCCATCCTAATAAGCTTTGTAGTTTAACATCATCATTACATGATATTCCTCGCAAGCTTGAGAAATACATTTTATTTCAATGGAAATCTATTTTGTACTTTTAAATCCATGTACTACTAAGTCAAATGAATATACACATTATGTGAAGCTGCTATATGTATACACATTTAAACACCTGGTAGAACCAAATCATTTTTGGCAATTTCCATGATATAGCCTATGTGAGTGGATTTATTAATGCTTACGTATTGGATATCAATTTGCATTACCGGTACATTGCTAATGAAGCTTTTGTCCCTCTAAGAAGTTTTATGTCTTTTTTTTTTATTACTTGTCAGCGTGATACAGATGTATTGCCATCTATCGGATATTTTGTTTTCTCATAGATTTACATTGTTTTCTACATACTGCACAGACTTGTTCGTCATATCGAGACTGTGCAAGCACAAACTTATATATTATTACCTGTACATAGAGCTTAAAGTTGCTCATTGAAATAAGCTTGATTGGGCTATTGTAACCAAGAGAAGTATTTGATTGTCTGAATTTGTGTGAACTGAATATTCAATGATGTTGCAGCACGTTTGAATGTTAGCGATCATTTTGTCATCTTATTTGAATAGTATTTCAAATCATGGGAATTCACTTAAAGTGTTAGTTGTCATACAGCAATGTACAAGTTGATATGGCTCCCATATCAAACATAAAGTGGAGTGACGATTAGCACTTTAAAGATACGCTACAGTTCAGCATTACTACTGCCCACATTAATTCATAACAATGGCTGAGTGAATCCTCGTACATTTCCTGTAATTAGCGTATATTCATATTACAACATATTTCATATTGTCCCAATTAAACTTTATGGATGATCTCAGAATGTAAATAAAGTGGATGGTTACATAAATACAGTAACATTTGCTACACATTCCAGTATTTCATCAAATCAAGATACACATGTACGATAACTGGTTGTGTTTGAAGCTGAACGGGCGTTACCCTGGTACCATATTTTACAATCATCAAATATAGAGTATACATGTACATGTAGGTTAGTAACGATAGCGAACTTTAAGCATTCCAATCACGTTTAAAAACTCACGTACACATATTACAGTTTGAAAGCAGACACTTAATGCCGAAAATTCCTGTATTCGTTCATGTTATAACCAGCTTTGTGGGATATTGAATACAACTTTGTACATTCTGAAATTATTTACTCTTATTTTTTTATACCAAAGATGTATTTACTGACTAAAGTTGCAAGACATTGAATAAACAGTCAAAATTTCACCTTTCCATATTTCTTGTTTTTTATTATAAACAGTCTCAAAATGTTGAGAATGAAAAATCAGCGTCATTGCCCCGAAAGTAGAATTTAGGTTTCACACATTCTGACCATAATAGTGGAGTTAGAAAGAGGTTTCCGTTTGTTGACGTTAATTATACTGTAAAATACTTTATTTTCACTTGGAATTCTCGCTATTTTCACTGAGGAGATGATTCAGTGAAAATAAAACCCAGCAAATATACCCTTTTTCCTATGTTTCATTCAACTTGACAAAAATCAGTGAAAATAAATTTCATACAAAACACACAAAATGTCTTGAAAATTAATTCCAGCTAAAATAAAGTATTTTACAGTAGATATTAGATTTCCATGGCAGTTTCAAATCTGATGCAGAGGCTACTTTGTATGTAATCATTCAATAATTCTACACCACAAAACAGAGTTGAATCATATATGCAAGGCAGAATTTGATAGGTTGAAAATAAACCTGTCAAAGAAGCCACTTTCTGATTGATCTGAATGTTAACCAATCAGGCACAATCTTATAATTAGCTATACAGGGACTTGCAAAATACAATGCTTCTCAATTTTACAAACCTTTTCCTGCTGTTTCAAAGAATGCTTGTATTGGATGACTTCATTATCAAAATAACATAACTTCAATACGTTTAATATATGGGAAAACTGCTTTGTGCAGGCTATTAAAAAACGTTATTATTCACATGCAGTAATAATGTGATAAAATCTGCCAGCAAACTTAATAATTGGGTAGTCATGCAACATGGGGGTCCCCGAAACAGAAATGGGTCCCAGAAACTTTTGTTATTGTCCACCACAATAACCTTTATAACTAAAAGAATTATGGTACTGTCACAACATGGCAACACACGATTTACATCCTATAGCAAAAGGTCGCTAAGAATATCTAAATTTAGCTGTAACATGAGCTCGGGTCCAGTATTTTGTGATAAGGTTACCAGACTAGGCACTGATACATTTCATACAAATGTAAACAACTGCCCTGAGGATGTTGTTGTTAAATTCATAGAAACAGGAACTTTTAATGACCATAAATAACAACTTTAAAAAATTCCAATCCTTGTAAAATATTTAAGCAAGACGCAATACGAAAGCTCATCAAATTCCGTAAACACATAAAACGACTTACAACGTTCAAACTTTAATAAGTGTTTTTATTCCAAAAATATTCAGAAAAGTTTGAAACAAGTGATGACTGCAATGAATTGGTAGTTCAGTTTTCGCAAAAATATACAAATTAATGGGAGGTATCATGTTTGCTCTAATAGAAGCGCACATATTCTAAAAATAGCAATTATTGTATGATCATTGAAATATATCATTGACCTTACAAACACGCATTTAAAAATATGTGCTACTAATACAGTGTAGATTAAACATGGTATATCCATTGAGTTGGATAAACGGTGATACCATCCTATGGCAGCAAGGTACCAGGGTTTATGGTATTATCACTACGGTAACACTTTTAAACAAGTCTACATGAGAATTCGGAAATTAGGGGGCATCCTCATCGGGATTCTTCAGGCTTCCAAATATTTCTGTTGGAACCGACTTCTTTTCTATTTCAACTTCTGTAAAATTAAATTCAATGTACAATGTTAGTTTCAGATTAATAGTTAGTCATGTGACCAATTGCTCGGGTCAAATGTTTATTCTCACGAAGCCCCGACCTGCAGTTAATCACTGGAACTGTATAGATCTGAATCTCACAATCGATGGCACAGTAGACAACAAAGATGTTGTTAAACAAAACTTTGGTGCCAACAATTTCACAAACCACACTATTGACAAGAGAGTGAGAACTAAATGAAAAGAATTGTGGGTCATGAATGAAGATGTACAGAGTTAGAATAATAAAAATATAATTGATAATAGAAGAATAATTGTTAAATAATCTGTGACTAGATGTCTCAACAGCAGCCTCACAATAGTAAACAGGTATAACGTTTAAATTTCGTATTGAAATGTCGAACAAAAAGTTATATATATTAATGATTTCTAAAACATAATAAGTTGGAAAGCCTTTTTGGAGAGCCTATACAAATATCATGGTTATGGTTTGGTTTAAATGGGGAAACAATTTGGTTTAAAATAGGGTATACTTTTCACATTTAACTGGTCTATGACGGAGTCAGAGTTTGGAAGATTAGACTGCAAACCCATATCAAATCACTAACCAGTGCCCAAAAATGTGATTCTGATTAATATACAAGGTAATGTAATAACTAAATATTTTCTGTTATGTTCCTAAAACAGAATAATTCTGTTGTTGTCATAAGCAGAAAAAGTAACTAGCAGAGCAAGTACATCCATATTAGGTCTTGTTCTCAATCTATGCACTCACCGTCAGGTCCTTCATCACTCTCTTCATCATCATCATCAATATTGATCTCCTCTGGGTTAGCAGTTTTAGCAATCTCTTCTAATTGCTCATCTGTTGTTTTGCCACCACTAGGGGAGAGAAAATAACGTAACATTAGCCACATACAAAGAAAGATCGGGAAAACAGTAACTATAGACAAATTTAATTAACCAATCTAAATGTAACACTTGCAATGATTAACTGATGAAGTTGGTGAAAAAAACAAGATGGATGCCATATGCCAATGAGCTTGTTTCAATGGAATCCAAATTTTTGTACTCCCTAAATCCTAGATCTGATAAAAGTCGAAACTTCATCATCAAGGGAAGCAAGGGTCAAGCGAGGTGGACACGATTTATTAAATGCAGGCATTCAGGAAAGCGAAATTTGCATGAATATGGCTCAAGTATTGCTATGTTTTGTCACGTTGTTACATACTTTATGCCGTTCAGTGTTGTAGAGTCAATTTACCTGATGAAAAGTATGTCTTTCTTTGGTACTATTTTATCGGCTTGTGCTTCCACTGCTATTGACTGTGCTCGCTGTTCCAATAGTTTCATTTCATCCATTCCGCTGGATCCTGGAGCCAAGTCAGATACTGAGAAAGGAGATAATATCTTGGTTAAAGACGAAGTTCTCAATCCCTCGGATTTCACCATCATTTTATGGTGAAACGGCTAATGTTTTAGTCAAAATTATATTGCTGTGGGACAGCAAAGTCAGTATTTTGCTTTGTCAAAATTAAATATATTTCTTAATTGTTTCCCATTTATTCAAACTAGATTTAATTCTGCCTAAAAACAGACGCATGATTTGTTGTGTAATAGGTTTTCAGTGATTTGCACAAAATTTGGAATAAATTTATGTTGATTAAAAATTACCTGTACCAGTACTGCTGGAGGAAGCTGCTAACATTTGAGCAGACATAAAATTCACCTGCAAATAGAGAAACAAGTCATTGAAAATGACACAGTCCCCGTTAAGTTCTCTTTGTGCTCGTCATATTAAAGCGGAGGGGTTGTCGCGAGCGTGTCCTTGAAACTTGAGTTCCAAGTGGCGTATACAACAGATTGTTTATTTACATCAAAACACGTGTTTCGTGTAATATGGCCAAAATAAAAACAGCCGTTATTCAGCCATCTTTGATTTGATTATGAAACACACTGATATGTATGATGTATGTGCCAAATACGAATGAAAATGATACATAAATTGTGGAAATATAGTAGTAAGGCCAAAAAGTCAGATGGCTGTCAATCGGCCATCCTTGACCAGATTTTGAAACAAATTGTCATGGACATGCATCCTAACATGTATAAAGTACATGTATGTGTCAAATTTGAATGAAAACTGACAGAGCACGTTCAAGATATCGCATAAAAAAACAAAAACAAGATGCCTGCCAGTCGACCATCTTTGATCCAATTGCGAAATAAATCGTCATGGACATGTATCCTAACATGTATAATCTATGTACCAAGTTTGAATGACAACTGACAAAGCA